AAAAAAAAAAAAAAAAAAAACTCTGGTGCGCTAAGTTCTTATTTTGTGCGGTCCGTGAAAAGGCCGGACCACAAAGGTTTATTATACATAGTTTTATCCTATATTTCTGCAAGAGATTATTTTCACGGCTTTCTGGTTACAATGCATCAACTTTATCAGTTACGCCAAGACTTCTAGACTAAATATTCTCTTATCCATCAACTGAATTTTGATGCCCTCCGACTCCTGCAATAGCACGTTTTTTCTTTTCTTTTTGTCCAAATTAAATTCTCGCAAGACCTGTCAAAGCACATGACTTATATCTAGTCAAAGACTCATGACCTGCACTTCAGTGTTGACGTGGCATTCATACTCTTACTCGGTTTCACTTGCTTTTTAGTATTTTTTTTTCTTTTTTTTCCCCAGATGTTTTAACAAATCTTTGTTTTATTTTTTATTTTTTTGAATTGTCAAGAACTTCTCTTTTGATTTTGTTCAGGACTTCTCTTTTTATAATCTCTTAAAGGAGTAACTGTGCTTGGTCTAGGGGCAAAATTTTGACTATATATTATGTCACACGTACGCCACACGGTAGTCCTCTTGGACCTAGTGTTATTTTGTTGCAGAAAGGAATAAACAAATAGTAGAAATAAATGTGTCTAGTCTTCAATAGCTTAACTTGTCACAATTTAAAATTTAAAATGTTATAATGAAGTATCACTATTAATAATCATCAAAAATTGCGTTTACATATTTGTAAAAAGTCAATCGCACGCATGAATGTAACGTGAAAGGACGCTTTGTATAAATAGTAAATAATTATAATTAATTAATAGACATGCGTGTGTGTCTATATTTTCTCTATTAACACCCTATGTTTATAGATGAGATGTAATACAATTCGTACTCCTTTCACTATGTATTTTAAATTGCTTTCTAACTTCTAATAAGTGTTGTTCTCGTCAGAAGCATACGATAAAATTAAAATGATAGAGTAGTTGAAGGGTCGTGCATTTTATTTCTTCCCAGACTCGCTTTACTTCTTTGTCTTTTTCGCTTGAAATAGAAAGAGCAAAGTATCATTTTCAAAAATTGCCAGCAAACTCTGAAATTTTTGCTTTGAGTTTTTATGTGTATCCCAAGATGTGCAAAATTTAAAACTACTCGTGAAAGCAGTTGTTGCTAAATTATATTTTATATAGGTATAAAGCTAAACCACTAATTCTTCCTATACACACCATATCAGAATAAACTAAACCACTAATCCTTCCTATACACACCAAAGCACAATGTCCTGTACACACCAAAGCATAATGTGTAAGGACGTTGTTTACTCATAAAGTAACATGGTAGGTTTATAAATAAGCAAATCGATTTGATCCAAAACGTGATAAAGAAATAAAATTAAAATTAAGATTTAACGTCTGAAATTAAAGAAGATAACAAATCTGATTTCGAATTCAGCCTTTCCGAAAGCAGTGGTGAAAATATAATAAAGCAATGACAAAGCTGTTACTCTAAGAGCTAAATAGTAAAGTGTGAGAACCAAAATAGTAAAGTATAACTTTTTCGTATACAGAATGTTTTTTTTCTTCTTGCAATGATTGTTAACTGTCACGATCCGGAATCTCCACCCTTGGGACCGCAATGATGCATAACATTTCACTTGCTAGGCAAGCCAACGTTAGAATTATTTTTAGCCATTTTTAACAAATCAAATTAACTGATACCAATTTAACTGAATAACTGAAATAAAAGTGAGCAAAAAACATAATAACCACAATATTTAGATACAATCCCAGAACTGGTGTCACAAGTGCACGAGCGACTAAAATACTATAAATAATGGTCTGAATAAAAGTAAAACTGTCTGAAATGAAATGAATAGCTAGGGTAAAGGTAGAAGCTAGGGAACTTCGGGGCTGCGAACACCGAGTAGTTATACCTCAAGTTTCCTTCAAGTGTTCGATCCGAGCAATCTACTGACCGCCGCTAAGACTGACTTCCAAAATCTGCACAAGAAGTGCATAGTATAGTATGAGTGCAATCGACCCCATGTACTCTGTAAGTGCCGAGCCTAACCTCGACGAAGTAGTGACGAAGCTAAGGCGGATCACTTACAATAACCTGTATGCGGTATAATAATAATAATAACAATAATAACAGGAAAGAAATGCAGGAAAGGTAAAGCAGTTAACTTATGAAGATAAACTCAATTCTCAAAATCAGCAAAACTAGATGCATTAGTCCTCAGAATCTCGTACGAAAACACTGAAAGCTAACATAATGCACAATGAATACCAAACACACAATTCATTGCGGCGCGCAACCCGATCCCATCATACAAACATAATCCTCCCTTATTTTACCATATCAATATCAACAGAACAAGTAAAATCCGTTGCGTCGCGCAACGCGATCCCGCCATATAATCAGAATCAATATAACATTCCTCCCTTATTCACCATATCAAAATTACATATAAATTAAAATCCGTTTCAGCGTACAACCCGATCCCATCATATCAATATCAATCCTCCTTTATTTTACTTGTTGCGGCGTACAACCCGATCCATAAATAAAATCAATAAAAGAATTAATTTAGCAACTCAAATCATAAGAATCTCTATGATTACAGAATATGAAAGCAAAGCCATAACGAAACCTCATACAAATCAAGGAGTGCTACAATTAATATAAAGCAACAAGACAGTCAAATATTGACAATTTAAGTATACAAATAAGACAATTAAAGCAAGTAGCAATTAATCATGAAAGCATGGAAGAAGCAAACATTTTAATATGAGAAAAATAAGTGACAAGTGGCAAGCTAAGGTATATGAAACAATTAAAACATGTAACAGTTAAGACATGGAATAAATAATTAATGAAATACGGAAAAGCATATATATTTTGACGGCGTATATACACTTGCCACCTCGCATATATGCCGCTACATGGGTAATTCACATAGCACATAGCTCAAGGGTTCCTAATTCCCTCAAATCAAGGTCAGACCCAACACTTACCTCGCTCCACAACTCAAGCAATCACTCAACCACGACCTTGCCTTTCGAAAAAGCCTCCAAACCAACCAAATCCAAAAATTTATTGGCCAAACAATTCAAATTAATCTTTAGAAACTACTCACAAATGAAAGAGGTTCAATTTAGATCATTTTGAAAAGTCAACAAAAGTCAACCCCCCGAGCTCACTTGGTCAAAATCGAGATTCAGCCCAAAATTCGATTACCCATTCACCCCCCGAGCCCGATTATGTTATTTGTTTTGAAATCCGACCCCAATTCTAGGTCTAAATCTCAAATTTATAAAAATTCCTAATTCTACCTAAATCCCTAATTTCTACCATGAATATCCTAGATTTGATGTTGAAATACTTCAAAATGTAATGGGTAGTTGAAAAGAAATAGATTAAAGTTGCTTACCAATGAATTTTGGAAGAAAGCCTCTTGGAAAAGTTGCCTCTAGGGTGTTTAGAGTTGGGAGTTCGAAAGAAATGAGCTAAATCCCGTTTTTTCCCTCTTTTGTCCAGGCGCAGATATCGCAATTGCGACCCGAAGTTCGCAAATGCGAGAAATTCTTTGCAAATGCGAAGAAGCCCATCTCTCTGATGTCATCGCATTTGCGATGATTTGTTCGCAAATGCGAACACTGGAGCAATTCGCAAAAGTGATCAACTGATCGCAATTGCGATCTCTATTGTCCCAGCCCTTTTTCACAATTGCGAAGAAAAGTTCGCAAATGTGAGGTTGACAGACTTGGTTAGATGTCGCAAATGCGATTCCCCCACCTCCCAATTGCGAGGTCCGCAATCACACCAGCAACAGAGGGCCTTCAGCTATTCTTCTAAGTCCAAAATTACTATGTAGCCTATCCGGAACTCACCCGAAACCTCGGGGCTCCAAATCAAGTATGCACACAAGTATAATAACATCATATGAACTCGCTCGCGTGATCAAAATACCAAAATAACACCTAGAACAATGAATCAGACACCAATACAGATAAAATTTTCAAAGAAACTTAAGAACTTTCAATTATTCAACCGGACATCCGAATCATGTCAAATCAACTCTGTTTTGCACTAATGCAGGCAAGTCATAAATACTGAAATGAACCTATTTTAAGTTCCAGAATCAAAATCCGAACCCATTAAAAATACAGTCAACCTAGGGCCAAACTTAGGAATTCTTTAACCTTTTAAATTACTAGTTTTCGACAAATTATGTTATATCAACGTAGGGATATCCGAATTCGATTTCAGGCATACACCCAAGTCCTAAATCACGATACGGACCCACCAGAACCGTCAAAATACTGATTCGGGTNATATATATATATATTATCAATTCTCATAAAAAAATTTAGAAAAGGACACGGACTGCACATGCAAATAGGGAAAGGCTAAACGGAACTATTCGAGGTCTCGAAACATAGAAATAAAGGTTAAAGCTAAAAATGACCTATCGGGTCATCACATTAACCCCACTATTTATAGCTCTACCTAGAGAAACAAGATCGTAGGATCAAGC